TAAGAGTCACATCAGGATTGAACTTCATGTAAGCTGCGTTAGTTACAAGGTCACTAAGTACCTGAGAATTTTTCCTAGCCCTGTGTAAAAGAAGAGAAATCAGTTAATAATTACAAGTGGTTATGATGAGTATGTTAAAGAAAGGAACAAAGCAAAAAGAGTAATTAGTAACCATTTCTTTAGGTTTCCAGCTTCTTCTATAGGAGGATCAATAAGAATTGCAGAGTCAAACCAGGTAGATAGCGTGACTCCTGGAGGAAAATATGGGCAGTTGTGAGGGAAAAGGTAAAAAGAAGAAGATATATGGAGAATAAGCACTTGAGCTTTTAAATGTAAGGGACATACTATAGAAATGTTAAACGGCATACCATTGTAAAAGCTAACTTTTAACCTGCGACAAACAACAATAGGCTGATTCTGGATGGTATGCGTCATCTGATAGCCTTCATGAGTTACAAAATCATCCCACAGTGACAAGACAACAGTCTGCAGACTAATACACGGAAAAGATAAAATTTTGGAAAATCAGGAAAAAAGAAAGGCATCACATAATAAGGAAGAAATTTGTAAGGAAAAACTTACTCTTTGTTAACAATGACAAACTTTTAGACCACTGAATCTTTTCCATTTTTGTTGATATGTTTGACATCTAGGAGAAATTTCTAAAATTACGATGATTTTTAAAAAAATTCTACAAAGGGGGCATTTTTTGTATGGGATTCCGTCGAGGGGGTCTTCGCATTCAGCAAATGCGAGCTCCTTGCTGAATGCGAGGTTTCCTTGAATTTTCCTAGCATCCAAATAAAAAAAAAAGAAAAAGAAAAACAGACCTCGCATTTGTTAAATGCGAGGTTCTCGCCCAGGCAACTCAGCTCGCATTTAGCGAGCATTGTGATGAAAGAAGCCCCTGGTCCAGTGAGCGTGAGCAAGCTGCAATTTTACATAAAAAGGCTGCTCAAACAATTGACATAAGTTAGAAGCCGTGCGTGTTTCATCATGCCAGTGATGAAACTGGAGCCAAAATTCACTATTTACCATCTTCAAATTATTTTCAAGAACATGAATCTAGATTTTGCCATAATTTTTCTTTTTGCTTCAGTTCCAATGCAGGCCTTCCCTTGCTTTATGATTTCACTGCAAATTATAAAATGATTTACAATTTGCAATGAAAATCTCTACAAATTTTACTACCTAAGGCTGTAAATTCATCAAAATTGGAAAAAAAAAAGATCCCATAATATTGCCATCAATACTTGATAATAATTTGGGGCAATAAATCTTAACCGAACTAGTATGCTTTCGGCTTTATTGTATCTCACATCCGATAAAAGCGAATTCCTAAAAAATTATATTCAATTTTTTTTTAATTAGGAGCACACAATCATTTTTGTTTTTGCATTGACATTTTATCATAGAGGAATAAATCCTTTTTATTTTAAAACTCACATGAGTTAGAAGTTAACAAATGTGAGGTCTCAGTACAAAATTTTATGTACTAGTAATTCTTTGTATATAAATAACCAAAAAGTTATATTTCTTATAGATTAAAAGATTTGATAATCATATGGTTGAAAACACCTAATTTTATTATTAAATAATTTTGTAAAGAAATAACTATACATGTATAGTTCTTTATGCGGTTGGAAACAAGCTTTGGCTTTGTGTTCAGATTGAGGTCCTCGCATTTGCGAAATGATTATTTATCAAATGATTATTATGTGATTATTTATCTTATAGATTAAAAGATATACTTTCCTATAAATGCAAAAATTATAATCACATAATAATCATTTTCAAATTAAATGAGAAAAAATATTCCCAAACCACATATATTTATTTCACTAGGATATTTGAAAAACATTTTATTTGTTTATTGTAATTTATTATGATTAAATATATATAAATTTTTTTTGGAAAAATTTTGACAGAATCTCCCCTTAAAAGTGGACTAAACTCCCTGCCAGCAAACCCAAAATAGACAACATTTAATCCAAGCAATATTTCCAACAACTTGTCAGCCAATAATCACAAACCACTGCAAAAGCACAAGTCTTTAGTAAATTAAAAAATAGAAAAAGTAAAATCAAGTTAAACATCCAACATTCCATAGATTAAAAACAAAATGCAAGCAAATCCATGTACAAATAATATAGTGATCCTAATGGTGCAGCTTCAATCGTCATCTTCATCTGCAGCTCCACCCTGAGGTGGAGTAATGCCTAAATGATCATCTATACGTGCCAAGCGAGTGTCCATTCTCTGCAACTGGAAAAATAAATTAGAATTAGTAGCACATGACTATGGTACAAATATTTTAGTTAATATTTTAGTAGTACAAGAAAATGTGATACATGCTTGTCTTGTATACATATTTTTAGTTAATATTTTAAGTTAATATTCCCTCTAACCCCCTATACATTATTACGCATCATGCCAAAATGTTATTCAAGAATTCCTAATTAAATTGAATATAAGTTTATTAAATACATGCTTATCTTGTAATTTATTATGATTAATATATATTTTTTATTTTGAAAAAATTTTGACAGAGTCTCCCCTTAAAAGTGGACTAAACTCCCTGCCAGCAAACCCAAAATAGACAACATTTAATCCAAGCAATATTTCCAGCAACGTGTCCAAAGCTAAGAAAATGTGACCACCACTAAAACTACATTAAAATGAAAGCGGGATACCTTTTACGCAATCAAAGATACTAATGCATCGTGGTAAATAAAAAATCACTTCAAGAATTCTCTCTCTTAATTAACCAATCAAATCAACTGGACTAATTACATTTTCTCTCCTTAAATGAAATGTACTGACTATACTCCCCGGTGCTGTGCATGGGTTAAAACTTGGTAGTTTCTAGGAAAATGGCTTTCCAAACAAAGGCCTTTTGGGTATTATTATGTTGGTTCACCACTGCGGTCTAAATTTAAATCTGATATAACTTTTAATGCTCCTATTACAAATTATCATGCTCGTAGTACTTATGATTAATGCATTAGAGGGCTGGATTTAGGTTATAGGGGTATAGATGTAGCCCATCCCATGTGTACTTCATCATTATCTCTAATTATGCCAGAGACTTTGCACTAGTTTTTTTTTCTTGTACAAAGCCACATAGTTGAGATGACCAGAGGACAATCAAGTAAATGACTAGAACAGCAACCTGATGTGGTTCAGCAGATTGCTAAGCGTATTGGAAAGGGAAAAACAATTCTTTTGCTCTTAGTGATCCTAAAGGATCAGCGTTATCAATGCAAAAGCTTTTATCTTTTATTGTCTACATTTATCATTAGACATTCTTAGGACAGGCCATTCTTGTAATCAACCACAAGAAGAAACTTAGCTCCGATAACAAGCAATGTACAATGTCCAAATAAGAGACCAACCGAAACAACAACAATGTCCAATAAATTGCCAAATCATAAAAGCCACTTCAATTCGGAAAACAAAAATTCCCAGAAAAAAATTACAACTTAGAAAAAAATTTAATTCTTACCTCTTGTGCTGTTTCTGGTGAAAGGAATGGCAAATGGAGAAAGTCGGATGCCGGACTTAAATGGAGCTAGCTACCAGAGATGGGTTCCCAAAGGGGAAGCTCTGCAATGGCCGAGAGCTTCCGATGCTTCCGATGAGAGCTTCGGACGAGAAGAAATGCCGCCTTTCTGATTTCACATGAGGAGAAACTCCGCAACTCTACAAAATTGAAGAGCTTCCGAGGAGAAGGCCGAGAGATTCTGACGACAAAGCTGTGACTCTGATTTCCGATGAGAAAGCTCAGACCAAGATAATTTTGAGAGTGAGGAGTTTTGGCTGCACGGAGAGAGTGAAGGGAGAGTGAGACTGAAGAGAAATGCGAAATTGGGAATTCTGATTGTTTTCAGATCGAGTACCTCGCATTTCTTAAATGCGAGGTACATAATCTCGCATTCTCCTAATGCGAGCTTCTTAAGCTTCCATTTGCAGAATGCGAGCTTATTACTCGCATTTGGAGAATGCGATCTTCTTTTTCTTTTTTTGTGGAAACACTTGCCTCGCATTTGTGAAATGCGAGGTATCTGAACTCGCATTTCACAAATGCGAAGATCACAAGTCTGGAACCAACTTCAAAAATTACCCCCTTTGTAGAATAATTTTTTTTTTCATCACAATTTAAGAATTTTCTCGACATCTAGTGACTGAACAACTATACCAAGAACATCTGGTGGAGAACAATACAATAGCAATTAGAAAAAAGTAACATAACTGGTGAGTAAATGAAAAAATTACAATGCTGAAGCTGACCAACTGATTTTTCTTTGTCATCGATGAAATTCACAAGATTGCTGAATTCTGTATAGTTAAACTTCACAAGGAGAATGTCATCATCATCATTGGCTCGTTCAATGACCGTTCGGCTGGTGATAACGCACTGGATCTTCAGGTCAGAAGTTTGATATTTTTCTGGAATTAGTCTTACAATAGCATCTGAAATGAGATGCTTTTTATAAATCTGAAGGCGAGGGCTGATCTTAGGGATGTCATTATTGAATATAATTCCCTCTACTTGTGATCCCTAGGAAAATACAAAAGATTCACAAAGTAAGCAGCTATGGATGTATTGAACTGCTCATAAAAACACAACATGTTCTAATGACAAGGGAAATCTAAGGAGTAGATTAATGCGGCTTTTTTAACAGCGAAGTGCTTAGGGATGCAGTATGAACAAGTAGATATAAATGATAGCAGAAAGAAGACCTCTGGATCCAGCAAAATAAGTTTTTGCTTTTTTGTTGGCGTCATTGTTGAGCCAGTTATCGGCTGCTTCTCTTGCACAGTTACTTTGCAGGTCCAACCCTGAGATCCAGGCAGGATGTTTTTGATCGAGATAACATCGTGCATCCTACATGTTTTTTGGAAAAACAGAAAGAAAATGAGAAATTAGCAACAGGGTGCGAATGACTAAACGATAAACTAATAAGTAATCAATGGTATGACTGATCATACCTCATATATCATATGTTAGCGAATTTAAAGATATCTTGAAAGACAACAGTCCTTGTTTTACAATAAGTTTTAACGTCATCAGAAGTACCCGGAGCAATCAAAACTTTAACTGCAGAAGAATTTCTAGCTTTAGAGAGAGCAACATAAAGCTGGCCGTGAGAAAAGACCGGTTCACGGAGGTAAATTCCGACATAGTCAAGAGTTTGACCCTAAGATTTATTGATTGTCATTGCGAAGCATAAACGGACAGGAAACTGTGTCCGTATGAATGGAATACCATTTTTTTCGGTGTCAGAAGTTTGCAAAGGAATTTTTGGGATGAAAACCTTTTTACCTCTATGAGGACGAGAGACAATTTCGGCAGAAATTGTGTGGTCAGCCAATTGTCTACAAATTAATCTGGTGCCATTGCAAAGACCATCCGTTGGATTCACATTTCTGAGGAGTATTGTAGGACAGTTTTCTTTGAGCAAGAGTTCATGAGGAGGCTGACCTTTTGGGTTCAGAGAATTTAGAAAGTCCTGATAATCCGCTTGATATCTCCTATCAACAGTTCTATCACAGCTTATATATCTGTGAAGACATCCAGGGAATTTTGCAATCATCATCTCATTAATTTCATCCACTGAAGAATTTTTGGGACAAAGGACACATCTATTTATCATTTGGTAAGGATCACATGAGTATAGATTCAGATCAGGAAATATGGTCCTAAGTAACTTGGAAGATTGTACATGTAATTAGATGGAGGAATGAAAGAACATGGACAGAAAGAACGGTTAATAACACACTCAATGATTATAACCTGTCAAGCGATTCTTGTTTGTTTTGATAAGGAATAACCATATGAGGTGACAGAGATGTTTGACCATGTTCATCAACAGGTTCAACACCTTCTCCAACTCTAAGCAAAAAAGCTGAAAATGCTGGATCTAAAGCAGCTCTCATATTTGTTCCTAGTTGTAGTTTACACATATGAGACCATAAATGCGAGCATAAAAGAGTTGATTGGACCAAATCTGGTGGAGGTAGATGTTCAATAACAGGCAGGGTTTGCCGAAAATCACCGCCAAAAATAATTGTTTTTCCTCCAAAGGGAAGATCAGATTCCATTATATCTGTAAGAAGACAATGAAACGCTTCTATTGCTTCTTTTTTTGCCATTGAAGCTTCATCCCACAAGATTAATTTAGCATCAACAATCAGTCTTGCAACACTACTTTGTTTACTTAATTGACAAGCCTTTTGTTTTGAAAAGTCCAAAGGGATCTTAAACCTTGAATGTGCAGTTCTACCACCAGGGAGGAGCGATGCTGCAACACCAGATGTGGCAACTGCTATTGCAACATATCCTTGTGAGCGAAGAGAAACAAGAAGCGCGCGATATAAGAAAGTTTTTCCGGTTCCACCTGGACCATCTACAAAGAAAGCTTGACCCTTTGAGCAGGATACTGAATCCAGAATTAAATCAAATGCATGCCTCTGGCTAGAATTCAATTTTTCAGCAAGAAGCAGATTTTCCGGATCAATAGGTATGGTTGTTTCACTTTGAATTTCTTTGGTCAGACGCTCAGCATGGGAAGACGTAAAGGAATCTTCAAGGAAATGATAATCATCGAGGTTTTTCCCCATGTGCTCCAATATTACATTAATATCCTGAAGAACTTTGCTTTTAATCTCTATCGGAGTGCAATGCCGATGAGCTGAACTTCGTTTATAATCAGAAGAGAGATGTTCTTCGAATGATTGCCAAAGATGTTTAGGATTTTTCGGGTAGCAATAGAAAAGAAGCATTGCGAATAAAGACCTTAACATATAAGGCGTCTGGAAATGAGCCGCTTCCTCTAATGCTTGTTCTATATAAGAATCGGATTCAAGCAAGCCTAACTCCAAACAGGCTTCTCTAAAAGAGGCTGTTTTATGACCTCTAACCATGAGCAAGTCATCAAATGACGTTGGACCCGGATTATGTGTGAGTAAAAGTCTTAAATAGTATCTTTCTCCTTCCCTGGGTTCGACAGTTACCAGCCTTCCTATGACCGTTCTACGACTCCTCTATGACCATGTCTTTGTTTTTGGTGTCCACACAAAGTGTTGAGGAAAATCTCTATATAAACATTTCAAATTCTGAGCTGTGGCATTGGTTTTGTTCATTTTGAAAAACTCAGTCAACATAGTCTTCGAAAAATCAATCTTTCTCAAGAGATACCACAAATCTGAACTTTTATCAAAAGAAGCAAATTGTTGGTCAGGAAGGTGAACTTGGAGGGCATAAACTGTTGGATTCATTTCTGTTAGGCGAAATTCATATATGCGCCACAAAGCTTCCGGAGGTGAAACCCAATGCCCTTGCTGGTAGCAATTAATTTCATCAATGGCACTAGAAGATTTTTGGTCAAGAAGATTAAAGCTGATAAGATCATGACCTTTAAAAATATACTTATAAAGGTACTTAACAAGCTTAACAGTGGAGCAGATTTCGACATTGATGTGGCAATCAAATAGAGCTAATAAGTATGGGTTGTAAGGTATCACCCATTGGTTGTCGAGCTCATGCTTGCGCACCTTTATTTTTCGGCCATCATCTCATCTTCTATAACATGCATAGCTGTCCTCACCATGAATTGTATAAGGAGCAAAATTTTTAGGATAATGATTTTTGCATTTACCGGCTCTCATGCACGGCTCTGTTTATTCCTATAACCACAGGGGCCATGAATCATATGCTTAATCACCAGGGAATATAAATGCCTATTCTTCTCAGGGTCTGGTATTTCAACACAAACAATTTTGTCATATGATTCAGAATTCAATAGTTTGGAGCCTGATTTAAGAATAAGCAGCAAATGGGCATGTGGAAAGCCTCGTTTTTGGAATTCAATAACATAGACACAGGTTGCAACCTCACCAAAAATCTGTTTCTTAAGGAGTTCAACCTTTAACATTTCAAACTTAGCTCTAAAAACTCTAGCCAGCAAATCAGGCCTATCCTGTGGTTTTTCATGGTATTGAAGATTCTCCTGAATTTCTTTCCACATCGGATTGCAAGTCATGGTAAGGAATATGTCAGACTTGCCGTACCTTTGAACCAAGGTCATTGCATAAGATATCTTCTTCTCATGTCCCTTGGGCCGCCAATAAATGAAGCCGGCAATACAATACGACGACCGACTCTAGACCCCTGAGTTTGGCCTATTGATACACTGTCTAGAACCCCTTGAAGGATCACTGTTCTAATTTCAGTTTGTCGCTTTCTATGAAAATCCAGCCTAGATGTTTCAATTTTTATATATGTACCAACGACAAACTGCTGAAATAATCTCAGGCTATGAAGCAACATAGAATCATCATTGTCTCTTATTTGCAGCCGATAACAATAGTACTCCCGAGCTTAAACAGTATAATCTTGAGAGGTCTTTTGCCGAGCAGCTAAAGAGGGGAAAAAGAGCGACATCTTATAACAAAATATATAGAGTAGGACAGCAGAAAAAATGTATAAATATAAGAAATAGACATACCTATATCTTCAGAACGGAATAAGGTAGAAGGATCCTCGGCAGAAGAAAAATCAACATCAACTTCTGTGTCATGAGTATCAGGTTTCTTCTTTTTTGAGAATACCCTTTGATCCCACGATGCCAACCAGATTCACCTCTAGGGAACAGAAGAGGATATTGAAGAGGATCGTAACATGCATAATATGATTGGACCCTATAACTTGCGTTAGAATGGCTATAAACCTGAATGTGGGGGCTCTTCTCAACCGATTCATCATCTGGCTCGGTCCATATAGCGGCAACTTGAGATGCAGTAGGAAGATTAAAGACACGCTGATCTAACCCAGGATAGTACCTAAGAACTATAGTATGGGTCTCAACGGCCTGAACATCCCTAAGTTCTTTAAAAAACCTTCTATAAGGATTTTCTTGCAAGATTGTCATTAACAACTTGAGGGTGGTCAGCCGCAGCTGTAGACACCAAATTTTGGTGTAATTTCATTTACTAATTATTTTTTTTAGTCTGTGCTCGTTTTTTTTCACTTTTTAGTTTTTAGTTTTTAGTTTTTTAGTTTTTTGTGTTATTATTATTTTTAAGTTTTTAGCATAGAATTTCTTGAAAATGAAAAAAAAGGAAAAAGAAGAAAAAGTGAAAAATGATGAAAAATGAAAAATGAAAGGAAAAGAATGAAAATGGCAAAAATAGGTGGAAGTGTGCATGTTGAACAAGTGTACAAAACAATCATGGGACAAGTGGTTAAGGAATTTGAGGGACAAGTGTCCCTTTTGTTTAATTGACAACACAACATTTAGGAGGACACTTGTTTAGCTTAGAAGGGAGGTTTGAGAATTGGAAGGAAAAAAAAGAAAAGAGGCCACGGATGAGAGAAAAACAGAAAAAGGGGGGAGGTTTTCAACGAGAGCAAGAAAAACAGGGGAGAGGATTCGGCTAAAGAGGGGAGCAAAAAGAAAAAACAGAGAAGGGGGCTTCGGTTGAAAGGGGAAGACAACAAACCAGAGAGAAAAGGAAAACCGCGAAGAGGGGGAACAATCAGAATAGGGAGCCGGCTAAAGAGGCAAGCAAGGAAAAATCAGAGAAGAAAAACCAGAAGGCAGCGGAAGAAATGGGGGGAGGAGTTTCGGCAAAGCAACGAAAAACAGAGCAAGGCAGGAGCAACTAGAGGAGAAAAACAGAGGGGAAGAAATCTGGAAAAATTGGGGAAGTTCTCGGATGAATCCGAAACAAAAAGGAGGGAACCGGTGGGTAAGCAAAACGAAAGGAAGAGCTGAGAACAGAGGACACGAGGACAGAAGGCTGCGGGCAAGGGACCAGAGAAACAGAGGAAGAGCTGGAACCACTGCCACCCGGAGCTGCCATCGCCGGAATCCGCCACTGCCAACCCCCCCGTCCCTGGCCACTGCTATCAGCAAGGCCTCGCCGAGGAAACGTGAATGGTCCTGAATCCCAGAATTTGAGAGATATGTCGAAGAAGGAGATGGGTTTGGGTTGGATGCTATAATTAAAGCACACCGCTGGAATCTGCCGTCGTCCACAAATTTCACCAAGCAAGAGCACCGTAAGTTTTTTCTTCCCTCTTTAAATTTCAGTTTCGGTCAAGTTATTGAAATGGTTTGCTGGGAGCATTTTGTTTCAATTTTGGTGCTGATTGTTCATGTTTTTTTGAAATACATATGCTTCGTATGTTGACTGGGCAAGAATCCTTGTTGTTGTTGATAATTTTGAGGCCAATTATAGCTCCAATGGAACAAAAAAGTAGTGAAATCTTTAATGCCCGTAACCTGTTCGGCGAAATGCCCAACTGAGAATTTTAATTGCAAGATAACTTGTCTGCATCTCCATGTGAAGAAAACGGCTAAGCCGGCCAATCCCTTTCCTCATATTTTGAGAACTTTTGATGCATTGCCGTTTTACATTTTTGCTGTTTCCTTTTATTTCCTGTCATATGAATCCGAGCTAGTGTTTTGGGGAAATTTTGTTGTCTGTTGGAATGATTGCAACTAAAACTAAATCTCTGGTTTAGCTGATTGAAAAGAACGGTAATGTTGATTGATGTAGCTCGGTGAGGAAGATGATGATTTCTCCAAAGTTGCAATTCCCGACTCTTTATTTCTCCTTCTTTGTAATTTAACCCCAAGGCTTCCAGAACTTCATAATTCGACCCCAAAACCCTCATAAGTCCTTCGATTAGGTCCCTACTTTAGTTTTGTTTGAACCTCTCATGTGTCCCTTATTCTGATGTGGCCCAAAAATTGGGAAAATGAGCTCGTTCTTTCTTTAGATTTAAATTAACTCTTAATATGCATAAGAAGTCTTTCAGTTAGATTAATTTTTGTTTTTTATCATTATGATGACTTGATAATTTAGTTGTTTTGCTAATCATGTTGGTTTTAGTTTTATGGGTTTGAGTTTTTTTTGGATAAATTTGTTTGATTGGGATTGAGAATTGGGTTTGATAAATCTGTTTGGGTCTCTGGCTTGGGCTTAGGAAGTAGAAGCCCACCAGATTTGTTGGAAGTTTTGGGGTCATAAACAATAGGCTGGCCCATTCTTTTGTTTCGGACTCCTGTTGGGCTAAAGGGTTAAATCCCATCAGTTTGGTTGGATCATTCTTGGGGTCAGAATAGTAGACTAGTCCATCTTTTTTTGCTTGGGTTTCGATTGGGCTAGGAAGGCTTTGGCCCAAGTAAATAAATAAAATGGCCCAGTGGCTTGATCCATTAGGAAACCAGAGGACGAATTTGCAAATCAGTCCCTGTACTTTTCTTTAATTTCGCTGTGGCCCTAGACATTTTCAACTGCTTTCAATTGGGTCCTTAACTTAATTGCAAATAGGCCCTTGAATTTTATTTTTCTTTAATTTTGACCCCAAAGCTTTGTTAATTTTTGCAATCAAGTCCTCTTTTCTTTTGACTTCTTACATGTGGGTTGCTGACATGATTTAATTGATTCAAATTCATGCTTATTTTTATCCTTTGTGATTATTTGCCAAATAAATTGGTGCCTTGACCTTTTCTTTGTATTTTGGAGGATAAATAGTTGATTTCATTTCATTGGACCCCAATTCAAGGGAGGTAACCTCTATCTCTTTGATTTTATTTTTCCTATGTGAATCAACGTGCTACGTGAGAATATGCATGTCTACTTTGCTTTCTTTGCCTTTCTTTAATTTCTTTTATTTATGTCATTTACTTTTGTTTTTTATTTAAGTTATTCTTTATGGGGTATGTGTACACCTCTTGGCTTGTAATAGTTAGGGATTTAATTATTTTATTCCTTTTCCCCCTTTTAGATTGTAGTAGGGTCTCCCTAATGTAATAGATAGGGCTTGGAGGAGCATTCAACGAAGACCTATCGAAGTCATGTGCCTAGCTAGCAAATGTAATAGTTAGGGTTTTAATTGTCTTATGTGTCATGCA